TTACTACACACAGAACAACACACACACACACACACACACATATATATATATATATATATATATATTATGTTTGAATGGTATTGGTAGATTTAGTTATTCCTAAGTAGACATGTAAATTCAAATATATATATAAGTATATAATATATGGTTTATCTACTTGTATATATATATGATATATACAAAGAGCATATATTGACTGACGGACATTTTATGATCTGCTGTCCATATTATATCACACCAATGTGTGTGTGTTTATCCCAATGTTCTTGTCACTTTTGCTTGTGTAGTATGGAAAAAAGAAGGGTACATATCTTTGCAAGTCTACACTCTACATTTTACACTCTCTACGTCACGAGACTATGCTCGTGTCCAGAATCGTGACGTGCATCCCCTCACTGCGGAGTTGCGTAGCGTGGATAAAGTTGTATATGCAGAGGAAAGATTTATAACGTGATGCATCCGGATATAGTTACAACTATACTGTATGACTCGCATGTCGATACGTACGTACGTAGGCATCAGTTCATACATTCTCGTATACTTATCACCCTCTTCGTTCCCACCCAGCTGCAAGACGCATTTGCCGGATTGTTATCCGAAGCAAGAGAAGATGAGCTCGTCTTCCGCATACACAACCTGCGTGATATACAGCCAAGTGGTACCCATATACACCCAGATGAAAGAGCCCAGCTATGCGCTTCAGACGTCTCAAACTATATGCGAACGTTACAACCGCTGATGCACGGCGTCATATGGCAGAAGGATGTCTTTCAAATCAGGGCCATCGCGGGTGAGGAATGGGATACCACCATAAACAGGGGTCCGAATACGAATGCAAACCCCCACAGATGTCCACGATTAGGCGGTGAATTGAGGTTTGGAGATAACATCGAAGATGAATGGTTCTCCGTTGCGCTGCTATGCGAGTTGACCAGGTTAAACGCTGATATAGTTGTGACCGCACGGGACACGGACGGCGAGTTTTTATTAATAGAAACCGCGGCGGCGCTACCTGACTGGCTCACACCGGACACCTGTGACAACAGAGTGTTCATACACCAGGGTGTGCTACACATCATACCACAGACTCTCACAACAAACGAGCATCTCTCGCTGGATGAAGGTGTGATTATTGTTGTCCTATACACACACGTCTTGTCATCACGTGATTCCTTGTTGGTTCGGCTTCGGCGGTGTGCGTTATTTAATTGTATATTGAATTTGAGTGCACTTAGCGTAGTGGATTAAATAGTGTGGCGTGTACCCTGCGAATATCTTATATGTATATAATTATAAATATATATATATATATATATATATTTATAAATATATATATATATATTTATATATATATATATATATTCACCTACAGACTCACACACGGGTACCTGAATTTCATTTAGTATGCTATCTATATTCATTCGAAAACATCTACGTATGTCAGAATATCTTAATCTACCCAAGCTATTTAACGAAATAACAAAATGTCATCTCATTGCATTCGATTATGCTGTGACGTACGCAGGTCTCGAACTCGTCTTTAGCCACCCGGAGCGTACCCAGGCCTCGTCCCAAGCACAGGCGATCTTCAATACTCGCGTTATCATGGCGATGCACACGGCACACACCTCCAACCACGTGGCGCATACCATCATACCTGCGGGTGTGGCTGCCATTTTAGATTGCGAACCGCAATTGGTTGCGGCCGCGGTCGAGGCTATTTATAGCAGAGATCCCATCGAGATGCGTGTGTGTAAGAAGATGGAAACTTTCTCCCCGCTGGCTAGTGTGGCACACATTGTATGTAGTCAGTAGGCTGTGTATATCTAATTCTGAAGGTCTAATTTGTGCGCGCGTTCGCCCGTCGTAGGTGTGTCTGTTCTCTGGCAGTTTGAGGGCGATGTTCTGCCTCACTGAAAGTCGAGGAAAACTTGCACCTCATTGCCGGTGTGTATTTTCGTTGGGTGCTTTGTTTTGGTGTACCATTTGTATGTGCACACGTATTGGTGTTGTGTGTTTGTTCTGTGTGTGGCTGTATGTGTTTTGTGTGCGGCTCATGGTCTTTGTGAACATTTTTGTATGACGGGATGGAAACCATTCGGCTTGACAGTGCTGCTTGTTGTATTGCGTTTGTACGTAGGCAGAGCTCATTGCGTGATCGTACCCACCTCCGTGATAATTAAATTCGAGCCAATCAGATCAAGATGAGGGGCCAAGTCGTATTTCTCGTCACGCTCGTGAGAGCAGTGCACACCCACACTATTGCACAGCACCGCGCTGGTTGGCGTTCAATGCATCCAATCATACAAGTATGAAAATGGTCCGTAGTACATCTAATCATACAGATTGCATTTATTCAATCATACAATGTACATAGAATGGCTTATGATGAATTCAAATGTACATCTAATCATGCAGACAAGATGAAATGGCACACATGGTATGTAGTGGAAAGGTCCATACTACATTCAATCATGCATAATACATTCATTCAATCATACAAGTATGGAATGGTACATGTTACATTCAATTTTACAAGTATGGCATCGCACGAGTCACAAAATGAATACCAAATAAACACAGAACAAGATATGTACTGCATGCAATCGTCGTGCCTTTTCGGAACTCAATTTTATTTTATGCTCTATGGTGTACTCTCACAGGTATTGTTCTCTCGCTGTCTATACGCGCAACTGAACCACATCGAATTTGCGTTGCCGAAAGTGTTTGGACCCGAACCTCGGCACAATACAAAAGAGCACGTGCCATTTATTATCGGTGCCAAGTTGGCGTGTGGGTTTGAGATTCTTGCGGACAGAGAGCGGCGCTTAAGGAAAAAGCAGGATAAACAAACCGGGACGAGTGCGAATACGAAAACTGATAGAGGTAGCGCTGACACAGGGACTGATTTCAGGGAAGGTGCGTATGGAGACGAACTGGGCGATGCTCTCGGTGTGGGTGGCGGTGAGAGTACGCAAATGGATATAGATTTTGATGGTGTGGAGTGGACTACGTATCTGAAGGGATTGGAGAGGCGCGGGTACTTTAAAGACGAGATTAAGGGGTCGCAGATGTACAGGAAGTTGTTTGAGAGTGCACGCGACGGTTTCAAACGAGGATTCAAGAAAGCGCGTACGGTAGCGACAGAGGATGGCGATGACGACGATATGTTGCCTCAGGCACATATTTGGGATATATATATGAACACGGATGTGCAGGAGTACTTCGAGGCGCACAAAAAAGATACAATCGATACTCTCGATGCCGCGGACAGCATAGACTGGTTGTTTATGACCGGAGAGGAAATAGAGGAGCAGTGGGAGTCGCGTATGTCCGGGGGGGCTATACCAAGCACAGAGGAGGGCCTTAATAAGCGCAACGAAAGGAGCGATAGAGGGGATGAAATTAGCTCGATAGAACCTGAAGCAGGCATCGGAAGTGACGATGTTCTGCGTGGTACTCGAAAGGGTGTGGATAAGAACGAAGACACAGAGTTGGGGAGTGAGATACCTGCTATGATAGCTTCCCTGAAGCAATTTGTGGGTCAGAGATCAGAGTTTGACGGTGTTGTTGTGCCCCCGTCGACAGCAGGCGACACTACAGCTGAGAATAGAGCTGATACTGGCAAAGACACTCGTGCTAAAAGAAGATCACCGAGCGAGATGGTGGATACCGATGATTTTGACACCCGTAACTTCTTCAAACACATACAGTCAATATTAGGAGGGTTTGATCTAGGGGAGGGTGATCTGGATGCAGAGCAATTGAGCGGAGCGTTCGATGTCCAGAAAGCCGCAGACGGCTTAAACGACTTCTTGGGAAGTGACACCAGTGTGAGTGATAGTGATGACGAAGATATTGTCGACCTGAACCCAAAGCGGGCACAGCAGAGGACCACTATGAGTGCTAGTGGAAACAGGGTAAGGTTCACGGAACCAGAAGAGGTCAGCGACGGTGATGAGATGCAGGCCTACTATGAAGACATGCAGCGAGAACTGCAAAGCACCAAGGTGAATGAATCATTTGTTCTGGCGAAGGACGTGAGTCAGAACAACGGGCAGGCAGCGGGGATAGACCAAGAAAAGGCCCACTTACATGATGAGAATGCTGACGAAACGGCACAGTCATCCGATGCAACGGTCAGTACAGAGGGCGATGGATTGCAGGAAGGATTGATGGTGGATGTGGATGTGAATTTGCTGAAGAATATTTTGGAATCGATTGAGTCGCAACAAGGGTTGTCGGGACCGGCGGGTGTGTTGCTTGAGAGTCTGGGTCATAAATTGCCAACGAATGCGAGCGAATTCGACTTGGATTAAATAAAATTGTAAGAATGAATGTTTCTAATTCTATGCACAAGCAGAATGATGATCTATTAGGCGTTACAAATGCTTATGGATGCAAGAATGGATGTTTCTAATTCTATACACACGTAGAACGGTTTATTAGGCATTAAAATCTGCCTATGGATAAGAGGATCAATGCCTATGCTTCTATTCAGATGTAGAATGGTTCAATAGACGTTAAAAATGCTTATTTTTCTATACAGACGTAGAATGATCTATTAGACGTTAATAATGCTAATGGATATGAAGATGAATGCCCATTCCTCTATTCAGAACGATATATTAGGCGTTAGTATTGCTTATGGATGTAAGAATGAAGGCCTATTCTTCTACCCAGATGCAGAATGATTTATTAAAAGAAAATGCTTATGGAATGAAGGCTTATTCTTCTACACAGTTGCAGAATGATTTATTAGATGTTGAAAATGCTCATGGATGTAAGAATGAAGGCTTGTTCTTCTACACAGATGCAGAATGATTTATTAGATGTTGAAAATTCTCATGGATGTAAGAATGAAGGCTCATTCTTCTACACAGATGCAGAATGATTTATTAGTTGATGAAAATGCTTATGGGTGTAAGAATGAAGGCTTGTTTTCGTTGAAATGTAAGAATGAACATTAGGCTGTAAAATGCCCATGGGTGTATGAATGAATGCCAAATATTGCATGCAGGTGTAGTCTAACTTATTGGACGTTGAGGATGCATGTGGAAGTGGGAATGAATGCTTATTTCTCTTTGCACATGTAGAATGACTTAATAGGCGCTGAGAATGCTAATGGATGTAGGAATAAATACTTTTATTCTTTGTACATGTAGAAAGATTTCTCTCAGGGTAGTCTGGATAGTGTTGTAAACATTAGATACTTTTGTTTTATTGTCGTGATGTGTATCCAATGCATCTATAATGCGGTCGTTTTAGAAACTTGAAGTCACTAAATCGAGCTTCACTTTATACTCTATCGTTCGAATACCTGAATATTAAAGATAGCAAGCGATTGGCCGAGAAATTAGGGGAAGTTCGTTTAAAAATTGCATGTGAAAGAATTTGACTTTCTTGCAAACGCGACTATAGTGACTAGGTGCAGTCACGCACAAAACAGCTTGTTCAAGGAGCAATTGTAGCATGGAAACGTCAAGTAACATACCGCCGATTAATTTGCCGTCTACTACCGTTTGCAGTACCGCATCATCTCCAATAAGTGCAGGTCCCTCTGTGTAAGGCACCTCATCGAATCCGTAATCTCTGTCAAATGGGATTTCTGTGATATCACGAACGAATCAATGTAATTAGTCACCTGATAAAAAACGAATCGAAAGAACTAGAGGGATTTGATCAAGTGATAAAGAGTCAACGTGTGCAATCAGTATCTACAATCAGTCTCTGCATACTTTGAAGACGAGAATCATTATAACTAGACGAGAGTCATCACAACTGAAGTTCTGAAGATGAAGATGAAGACCAGTTATCATTATAGCCGAAGTTGTAATGATTCAATGATTTTTAACTGATCTTCATCTTCGTTATGTTCAATTACCATTGCAACCGAAGTTTTGAAGATGAAGATCATTACAGCCGAAGTTTTGAAGATGAAGATCATTACAACCGAAGTGTCGAAGATGAAGATCATTTTAACTAAAGTTATCTTTATCTTCAACGATTTGTATTCGTTAATACAAGGTATACGGGGGTTTGTAGATTTATTTTGTTACCACTGTCGTGCATCTTGCTGCCTGCTATTTGTAATTTTGATTAGAATGCAACCCATCTAATCTAATATTCAATGCAGATTTAAAAAATGATATATACCGATCAGTACAGATAGCTTTTAGTTATTTAGACATGCTGTCACACGAACCACACACAGATACACAATATAGTATAGGCTGCACTGACCAAAACAGGTCAGTACAGGTAGTTTTCAGTTAATGAGTCCTGCTGTTGTCGAGTCACACACAGATACACAATATAGTATAGGCTGCGCTGATCTATACAGATCAGTATACAACTTTCAGTTCTTTAGTCCTGCTGCCGAACCACACACAGATACACTATATAGTATAGGCTGCAAGTGGGCCACACAGCGTGACAAACGGCACAAATAGAAACAAAGATACTCACTAACAGTCCAGTATTTATACCCCCACCGGAACAAACGGCCAATTTACAATAATCAAAAGCAACATACCTGCAAGGTTAGTGTACAAAATCATCTCATCATAGACTCCTAACGCAGCACTGGCCTGGTTAACCGCATTCGTTGTTGCCGAGGCGATCGCTTTGTATTTCGCTTCATTCAGGGTATTTGCGTCTACAAAGAATGATACATCATACACATCGTTAACACCGAACTGTAACGATTGATCGATAATCTCGCCGATTGCCGAGCTTGGTACAACAGCCACTATAGTAGATTCAGCTGTGTAGCCAGTGAGGACAGTCCGGTACACATTTTCTCTGGATACTTCACGGTCGTTGTCGCTGGTGTCTATACAAGGTGCACAATCAGTGTTGTCTATAGAGATTGGCCGCCTCTCATTTTGTTGCTCGATATTAAGACCATCCGCTTGCACAGACTTGACGCCTTCAAGTCCGCTGAGATAGGAAATTAATGGTCGAGTAACCGCATTTATCTTGTCTTGGATCTCCAATGCTGAACATTGATCCGGGGGCAGGGTAATATCACAAGTCGATGAGCGCTGTATCCCCATTGTCAGTTGTGTGAGTGTGGTACCGATGTCCGATCTACCTACGCCAGTAACTCTAAGCTTTCCAGATTTGTTAGTGGCAGCAGCAGCATGACCAGCCAAAGCTAGCACTGCATATACCGCTAAAGAAGTTAATGGTGACATAATGTTTCTGAAATAGGGGTGCTGATTAACTACGCCTGCTTGGTACCAGAACTTAATTCAGTGTATATCTGAAAGAGTGACGAACAGGTCGAAGTGTTCGATGGTTAAGTAGACAAATGTGTTGTTGCTTGCTACGAATTGCCAGCCTGCAGCCTGCAGGTCGCTGTGGCAGAGGCGGTGAGCCCTGAGCAGGGCGCCAGGCGGCCAGAATATATTTTGTCAATAGTTGGTTGATTCGGGGGTTTTTAACAGTATGATGCATAAAAAACGCGTCCATACATGCTGCGATCACGAGCACTTGAGGTCTGAGCTGTGATTCACTGACTTACTGTACAATACGAAAGCAGGCGCCAGGTGGCCGCAGGCACCAACTACAACATACATTTTTTTTGTTTGGGTTCGTTTTGCTGCTGGTGTTTTTTAAAAAAAACTTTTGTAAAAAAAATGAAACAATAAAAGTAAAACAACCCAATTTGCAGAAATATTAAAATAACAGCCAATGAGGATGCAGATCTGTAGATTTCTTTTTCTCGCGAGTACTGTCGTATATACACTGATCTAATTGGGTTTCAAGTTTGATTGTCTTTGTTTGTAAAACTAAAAATAATACCAAATTGGGGACGGGTACATATTACAGTATCAGCCAATCAGGCTAAGGGTGTCATATCACTCATTTGAAATATGCAAACTGTACAGAGACTGTGAGATACTGGGAGTCTGAGACTTTGTCTGAGAGTGAGAGAGCCTGAGATTCTTTACTCACAAGGAGTCGGGAGCAAAATCTCAAAATCTGGCAAAGTGGCAATACGGGTATATGACATATGTATGTATGTGTATTGACGATAGTCGATATTGTATTAGTTTTATTACTTTTATTACACTGGGGCCTTGGGCGGTTGGGCCTTGGGCCCTGGGCTCCCCGGCTCTCACTCTGGCACGTGTATTGACTTATTTATGGTATGTAATCAGGTACTGGCAGTTTTCCGACTCTGGCGGTCTGGCCTGTATAGATTATAGAGATACTATAGACTGATCCCATTGGATCTTTTTTTACTGAGTGTGTGCAAATAATTTTTTTGTTTCATTTTGCAACAAATGTTCTGTATGGTGACAGTGTAAAGTGTAAAGCGTAAAGCAATACTGTATCAGTACACATGTAAAGGTATACATAACTACTATTTTATACAATATGCACAGTATACAAACTACACAGTAAATACTAAATACTGTACACTATTGAAATTTTGTATTTACATACATACACTGTTGAATACATAGTCTGTTACAGTGTTAAAAGTGTTACCAGTTACAGTGTTACTCTCTACAGCACACACACACTGAACACAGGATTCCTAGTTTCTATAACTGAGGAGCATAAAAATTCCTGAGTAAATCTAGAATCATCGAGAGTTCGAGACAGGTACAGGACTCCAGGGCAGGAATCAGGATTCCAGGCTGAAATAAAAATCGGGCAAATAAAAATACTCAGTCGGTACTCGGTACACAAAATCAATAATACAAATGTAAATTGTATTATACAAAATCATACAAATGTAAAAATATATATTTATGTTGTATAGAAATAGTAAATACGCTGTAAATGCATACTTTTTACGCTACTCACGTGAAAATGAAATATTTGTGTACATGGCGCCCGCGTAAACTCATAACTTTTACACCGTGAAATAATAACTAAAAGATGCATTCTTGTGAGATCTTGCATGTGGTCTGAGAAATATCAACCACTTTTCTAATCTTGATCTCGCACCCGTCGGTCTTGTACCCTTTTGGTCTTCGTCGGGGAGTGGATCAGTTTCAGTATTTAAGACTGGCACGCGACTACACGTAGGCACACTACGCTGCAGAACATTACAGCGTCAGGACCCTAAATATATCAACTCAAATCACAAATCATGAAGGTATCTAGTCTAGTTTCAGCTACTGTATTAGCTATCGCCATGATAGATGGCACAACTGCAGGTCGACTGCCGTCGGCAAAGTCTCTTATGACGCAACATCAGTATGTAAATATATTATGAAAGGTACATGATACAACATCAGTACGCGACTACATGTTTAAAGTGTTTATTCCTTTTTGTGCGTGCGCCACTTCCGTATTTAAGCAGCCTGTGAGTACTTTGTTGCGTGAACCCTGTGCACTTTCGGTATGAAATTGACCCAAATATAGCAGTAGAACAGCCGTAGGAGACACAAAGTGATACAAATACTTCAGTATTATAGTGCAATACAGCGCGGTACTCTGTATTCGATATAGTGCGATTTTCTGATATAAAATATTGTAAACACAATCCGCAACATATGGTCATTGTACTCATCTCGAGTACCTTCACAGTACAATCAAGCGCAGAGAAGAATTTAACAGTTACCCTAAAAATGGAACCATCACGGTCACCGGGACGGGTCGAGTGGATGTGTTCTCTGATTTGACTAAAATCAGATTTGCGATTTACAAGTCCGAAAAATGTGACCTGACCAAACCAGCAAAAGATTGCGAAGCGGCAAAGGCTACTCAGCGCTTGAATGAAGTCTCATCCGCGGTAGTGGGAGCACTCACGGTATGCACTATTTGAAATCTAGTGTCAGTTGTTACTACAAATCATATTTAGAATGAAATATACAACTAATGATATAAACTGTACCTGCATGCACATTTGGTTGCTTGGATTTAGTATACACCATGCCGATGAAAAATCCAGTGTACACTTTCTATCAGCCGATGCAGAACGTGCCTGAATCTAAGTGCATAATTTAAAGCGATTGCTCTTGATTGACCACTTGATGCATATAGGTAAAAGCCATAACGCATTACAAGCATAGGACTTTGTGGATTCTAAGAATTTTGTTTTTGTTTGCTCGTGTTTGATTTACTTAAATGGAAAATCATGGAAACAATAGCGCCGCAACGTATTCGTATCTTTCGCCGAGTCGAGGCTGTGTATAACTGTGCATGCGCTATGCTTGCTACGTACTCACATTCCAAAAACCAAAATTACTCCTGCTACATACTATTGAACAGGATGACGACGACGTTGTCGGTGTATATACCGAAGGCCAGGACTTCTCCCAAGAAAAAGAGTGGTATACCGATGAACAAGTAGAAGCCATCGCAAACGCAGCGTGTGCCCCTTGTCCGTCTTATTTATACAGCGGAGAAGAGAAGGAATACTTGTCACAATACAAGGCTAATGCCGAGTTCATTGCGATAGTGCAGACAAGCGAGCAAGGGCGACTTCTAGATCTGATTGTACAATCCGGGGCGAATGCTATTACCGATATCTCCACGTACATCTCGCCCGATGTTATGAACCAGGCCAACATCGATGCAGTCACCGCAGGAGCGCAAGATGCGTTGGATCAAGCTACGGCTGTGATTGATCAATTACCGAGGACCAATTCAGGCCGCTGTAACTTATACAGAAGAGATCGAAATTCCTTTCAACGATGATTCCTTTTCAAGCATAGCAGCCAATGTGGAGGAGAGGAAGCCCGTCTTCGATAGTGAGGGTACTATCACGGCAACATATACGACCGTAGCGTATTTCGTTGAGGTGAAACTGTTCTTTGCCGATTAGAAAACAAAAAAGATGTAAACTACTAATAACAATTTTCAATTAAAAACCAATAAAGAACTGAATAGGACCAAAACGAGCTACAAGGTGTCCCATCTATTCCAACTAGTATTTGAGATACAAATTTGTTCACTTAGCTTCTGGATAGAATCAGAACTACAGGATCCGAAGGTATCCAACCTATTCACAGGCGTACTCCAGATATAATTCAGTTTCTTATGTGCATGAACATTCATTGTCAATACATTGTACTCATAG